TACATACATACATACATACATACATACATACATACATACATACATACATAAATAGATACATACATACATACATACATACATACATACATACATACACATATGTATACAAACATACGTACATACATACATACAAACATATATACATTTATACATATATACTTTCGCTAACGATCATTCCAGTGAAACCTAATTATCTCAATCAGTGTGAAATAGCATCAATAGTGCCACGTGTAGATCTAAACCCAAATTAATTTTCATTGAACACATTAGTTCTGTCAAAAAAGTCGTTCAGCCCATTGAAGATTATTTTCTCCAAAATTTTGACAAAACTCAGCAGAAACTGGTCTAAAATAAGCAAAACTGAGCAGAAATTAGGCTGATTGATCTGACTTTTTTTGGGTAATTGAATTCATTTTGCAATTCCTTGGATTTCCGCACAACTTTGGCAATCCAATCATTTTTTAAAAACAGATCAGAAAGTACAACTTGAAAATTTTTAGAACAAATTAGTTTATGTCGTAAGAGTCATGGAGTCATACATACATACATACATACATACATACATACATACATACATATATACATACATACATACATACATACATACATACATACATACATACATACATACATACATACATACATACATACATACATACATACATACATACATACATACATACATACATACACACATGTATACACATATATGTACATACATACATACAAACATATATACATATATACATATATACTTTCGCTAACGATCATTCCAGTGAAACCTAATTATCTCAATCAGCGTGAAATAGTATCAATAGTGCCAGGTGTAGATCTAAACCCAAATTAATTTTCATTGAACACATTAGTTCTGACAAAAAAGTCGTTCAGCCCATTGAAGATTATTTTCTCCAACTTTTTGACCCAAACTCAGCAGAAATTGGTCTAAAATAAGCAAAACTCAGCATAAATTAGGCTGATTAGTCTGACTTTTTCTGAGTAATTGAATTCATTTCGTAATTCCTTGGATTTCCGTACAACTTTGGAAATCGAATCAATTTTTAAAAACAGATCAGAAAGTACAACCTGAAGTTTTTTAGAACAAATTAGTTTATGTTGTAAGAGTCATGGAGTCATACATACATACATACATACATACATACATACATACATACATACATACATACATACATACATACATACACACATGTATACACACATATGTACATACATACATACAAACATATATACATATATACATACATACTTTCGCTAACGATCATTCCAGTGAAACCTAATTATCTCTATCAGCGTGAAATAGTATCAATAGTGCCAGGTGTAGATCTAAACCCAAATTAATTTTCATTGAACACATTAGTTCTGACAAAAAAGTCGTTCAGCCCATTGAAGATTATTTTCTCCAAATTTTTGACCAAACTCAGCAGAAATTGGTCTAAAATAAGCAAAACTCAGCATAAATTAGGCTGATTAGTCTGACTTTTTTGGGTAATTGAATTCATTTCGTAATTCCTCGGATTTCCGTACAACTTTGGAAATCGAATCAATTTTTAAAAACAGATCAGAAAGTACAGCCTGAAGTTTCTTAGAACAAATTATTTTATGTCGTAAGAGTCATGGTTGTAATTTGATTTAAAAATTTCAATTAATTTAGCAATTTTTTTGGGTTTCTTTGGTTTCCGGATGAAATTTTTTGATTTGAGTGCGAAACGTTTTTTAGGTTAGCCGGAAAAACTCTGCGGCGAAGTTTTTGCCAGATTTAGAAAAATACTCTTTGAAATTTTTCATATTAACGAGTTCCGTTGGGTCATTATTTTTCTTATCTGAACTTTTTAAACCTTTTTTATTTTGAAAAGTTCATCCTTGCGATCAATTTTCTTTATTTTTTTATCTATATTTTTTATCTATTTTCTTCAATTTATCTTTGTAAAACGTTCGCTTTTCCTAGCTATCATTTTTTTCACAAAAAGTGATTGCTTTTGATATTTGTCGCGCACTTCTGGTGTACCGAGCCTTTTGAACTGGTTTAGCAAGCAATGTTTTTTCATGAACGCGTTTTTCATTTCATTAACAACCGGAAATTTTTTGGAAACACCTTTGGAGATACATTTTGAAGTTAATTTTTGGGAAAACAATCAAATCAATTTTTGCTGTCAAAATCTCATGCAGTCTTGAAAAAACTTCCTTGCAGTCCAGTGAAGATATTTAATCCCTACGTTTATCGATTTCAGGTCTAAGACTTGTCCTGAGATCTTAAACTAAATTCTGATTTACAGTTTACGATACAGTTAAGTGGTATTTTTTGAATGGGACTCTCTGATTCTGTCTGAGTTTTTAGATCTAGTGTTACAGTGTTATGATCTTTTTCTGATTTTCGAAGTAGTTTGGTTTGACCTTGTTTGACTGCAAAAAAATAAATCGGTACATCAATTGTTTTTACGACCTTCTCGGGTCGCATGCTTGCTGTTGGCAATTTTCAGTTCAAAAGTACTCGTACTCTTATGAGCTAGTTTTATAATGTTTTTGTTCAATGTATGATTATTGAAACCACTGCATACTACATGTTTTGACTGAGGGAGGGTCAATAATGAGACTATCTAAGTGTTTATGAAGCTTGTCTAATTTTTGCGAGTTAACACAAAAAGTATGAATTTTTGCAAAATTTTTTCACAATTTGAATGCGCCGAATTTGGATTTTGTAATCATTTATTGTTTTTGAGTTTCTCGAAAATGACATTTTATTTGACATGTATAATCACTCCGACTTATCGTTTTTGCTTAAATCCTCAACTAAAATTTGATACCCATGTTGTTGAAATAGGCTAATTAATTAATTTTTTTTCAATCAAATATTTGTTGTACTTATCCTTTTTGGCTTTGAATTTAGATTCTCAAACAAAAAACTTAAAATTCACAAAGATTTTTTGGAAGAGAGTCTTTTTTATGTAGTAAAAAGTGGCTGCTTGAATGCATATTTTATTGCTTTTTATGAGTCTTTGTTTAACCTTTCTGACAAATAACTTCAAATAACGGCTTTTCATTTTTCCTACTTAAACTTGAGTGTAACATGAACTAAAAAGTTTCACCTAAAATTTTCACTTTTACGCACTGAATGATTTATGATTTTTTTTGTCGATTTGTACTTATTTTAAGTATTTACAGACAAGAATAATTGATATTCCACCTTTTGACGAGTAAATTTTTAAATTAGTAAAGGAAAAGACACGATTTAATCAAATTATACTACGCGTAAGCACAGATTTCAACAATTTTTCATTATATCCCCTTAAATGATTCGGTTTTACTACGAAACACAAAAGTTGTACCCAGAACATTGAAATAACTTGAAATGCATCAAAAACAGAATTTGAAGGGCAAATCAGAACGCAACTGGACTCAAGTTTGTGAAATTTATATGAAGAACACGGCCAAAACAATGAAAAGGGCCTGTTTGAGGCTACATTAGAGATAAAAATGTTTCGCTTCAGTCTGTGCCATATTGATATCCAGGGTTCCTTGGTAATATGGATCAACGAACAATTTTCTTCGATTTTTCCCCTAAAGGGGGTTGTAATTCAGGTTGACTATCTTACAAAAACTTCCCCTATCTTAGAACTTCTTCTTTTGTAAGAAATTTCCGCTATCTTAGATTTTCCTATTTTACTCAAAATTCAAAAAATCGTTTTGAATGTGCTTCTATAAGCTACTTCCAGATAATAATCAATTTTGAAGTTTATTTTTTAATTTTTGCATGTAAAAACTTTTGGATAATGGCTATACTGTATGCATTTCGAACAAAAATTACGTAACAAAAAACTTTTCAATGAACCTCTTAATACGTAATCAGCGGTGATGTATGAGGGGTTCAGGTATATAAGTACAAATATTTTAGTTAGTGGCTTTTTTTTTAGTAAACTCATGTATCAAAACGAGTCGCTTGGCCTCTGAGTTTCCGTTGTTGTACTGTGCGGCAGCGGAGAACTTTTAATCTGTATAAAAGAAAAAAAGATTTGGAAATAAACTTGTAACAAATAATTTAAAAATTTTTGTACCAAAAACTCCATCATACAATTTTTTTGGAAGAAAAGTCACTATCTTATAACTCTCTTATAAGACAAAGTCCTTATGTTGTAAATTTCTTAGAGCCTAATTTTGTAAGAAGTTCTAAATTTTTTAATAAGAAAAGTTCTAAGATAGCGACTTGGTCAACACGGGAACCGAAAATATCCAAGACTTCGGTACGCATTATGATGCGAAAATGATTTTAAAAGTATAATTTCTCTAGAATTTCGTCAAGGTATAAGCGGGACGACTTTCGACAGAGTAGCGACAGGTCGCACGGCGCATCGCATTGATCAGCTGACTTTTTGAAAAATGACATCAATCAGCTGACAAAGGACGAAGGTTGAGCTTCTATAACTAAAAACTGTTCTTCACGCAGTTTTAACAATGCTATATAGCAGAGAGTAGACTAGTTTTGCGTCCAACAAACCACCAACTGACTGAAACTCTAGTCAGCAGAATCAATTTTGTGCCGTTGAAATTTTGCCCAGCAAAATACCCGTCTTGTATATGCTCAAAGTTTGCACGAATTCAGCTAGAATGATCTCTGAACTATTTAGGTCAGCCAATCAGATTGACTTGTCTCCTCATGGACATAAAGGCTTCATACATTCATAAGATACCACAACATTCAAACAATCAATAAGACGAAAAGTATCCAAAAACATACCTATCTGGATATATTTCATAATCAATCCACCACGGCTATGGTTTTTAGACAAACGCCGACAAAACGCCGACAATGGCCGTTTTGTCTGCGTTTGTCGGCTTACTGGCCTGTCTAATTACTAGTTTATTGGCTTTGAGGTTGTTCTTCTTACGCTCTAAAACGCAATCGAATCGCTAATTTTAAACCATTTGGTAATGCTTGCGTCAAACTAAAAAAAGAAACATTTTTCTACATAAAAAAACATCTGTTTCATTAGACAGTCGGTCGGTCATTTTTAATACATTCAAAAATGTGACGTTTTTTTAAAAAACTAAATATGTTCACATACCAAAACATATCATATTTATACGTGCTGGCGTGTAATATTTCCTGTAGAGTAATGGGAAAAACACGCGCTTATTATTTGATTCTTGTTTTATTTTCCCCTCTTTTCGTGCTTGGAAAAAGCGACTTGCTATTCGAGCGCTGCACTTCTGCATCTGATGAACATAAGGAAAACTCGGATCCATTCTGTTATGGATTGAACCGCACCGACAAAAATCTCTGCGCAGGTTTGCTTCTATAAGTTGAATCTCGGATGAGCACATGTTTTGTCTTCCTTAGATCGATTTTTTTGGGGAGGGGGGGGGGGGGGTAAGCTTGATTTTATATCTCTGGTTGAGTAATAAATTTTATGTTTCGGTCAATACAACCAAAAATGTCAACAAAATATAGTCAGCTGCAACCGCGTGTTCAAATTGCCAAAAATCTCATCAAAAATCATCGTCGGGTCTGATTTAAACCTTGAAGTTTAAAAATGTAAAAAGAGGTAAGGTATTTTTTGGTTACACTCCTTCCTCGCCCGTAATTGATAAAAGAAGAAAAATACAGTTTTAACTTAAAATTGTATCAAAAAAATTGAGAATTGTTTTTTGCTTTTTTACTCAATCAAAAGTTACGCCAAAAACTATTGGGACAATTGCTGCCAAAATTATGTCAAAAGAAGCCTCTTACGTAGCTCACCATTAAAAAAAAGGTAAAACCCCCCAAAAAATGAGCAAAACATTTAAAAAATGTACTTTTGAATAAAAAAAATTGGCGTTTTATATAGTGAAAGTTACATGTTTTGTCTATCGAACAAAATTAAAATGTTTTATGCAGTTTTTTGGAGTTTCAGCATGTTTTAATTTTGTTGCTCTATGTAAAAAGTTGTTTTCACATAAATTTGTGAGCATTTGACTCAAAAGATTCGGAGTAAGTTTTGATCGACTAGAAAAACCAAAAGCAACCCGATTTTAAGGAAAGAATTTAAACCCAAACTTTGCAAAACCCGCACTGACAGAAATTGTTTCCAGTCGATTTAAATTGATTTTAAATCGATTTTAAATCGATCCAAATCGATTAACCTTGTACATTTTACGAACTTAAATGGATTTTAAATCGATTTAAATCGATCTTTTTGAAAATTTTATATCGATTTAAGTGTCCAAAAAATCGATTTAAATCGATTTCGATGGATTTTCCGACTCACTAAAATCCATCCAAATCTCACTTAAATCCATTTTAAATCGATTTAAATCGATCTTTTTGAAAATTTTAAATCGATTTAAGTGTCTAAAAAATCGATTTAAATCGATTTCGATGGATTTTCCGACACTCTAAAATCGATTTTTTTTTTAATTAACACGGCGAAAAAAACACACCTTTTAAAAAATGGTTGGAATTGTTTATTCTCGATTTTTTAAACATAAACACTCTTGCCAGATAATATAGAATTCATAAAAATGATCCACATAAATCAGGTTTTAAATTCAAAATTTGCAATAAAATCATAAAAAACTATTGAAAATCAGATTATGGGCAAAATCTTGTGTAACAAACCAGAAAAGGGTCAGGTAAAACTAAATTGTAATCTCAATAATATGCAATAAAAGCATACAAAAACATGAAAATAAATCAGATTTTAAGCAACAACTTATGAATCGAATCAAGAAAAGGGTAAATATAGATCAGTTTTTGAACTCAAAATATGCAAGAAAATTATAGAGTTTTGAGTTTTTGAGTTTTTGAACTCAAAATATGCAAGAAAATCATTTATTTGGTCTTTTTTATGCTACAATACGCTATGGATGAAAAATTAAAAATGATAGGCAAGAAGTAAATGCAATAAAAATTTGAAACTGATAAAACTCGAATGAAAAAAATCCGTTTTAATCCCCTTAAAAATGAAAACAAATTCAGACTGGAAAAAAATGCATTTAAATTGATTTCAAATTCGATTTGGATCAATTTTTTTAGCTGGAATTTAAGATCAATTTAAATCGATTTTAAATCAATCCAAATCAATCTTCATCTTTTTTATTTAATCTTCATACTTTTTTCATACTAAAATTGATCTAAATTTAATCAACGTACTTTTTTCATACTAAAATTGATCTAATTTTAATCAACGTACTTTTTTCATACTAAAATCGATCCTAATCCATTTTTGTCAGTGCGGGAACAAATTGATCATATTATTTCTGCTAAAACTCTGCTAATTTTTTTTGTCTTTAATTTTTTTCTATCTAAACTCAGCCCAATTTGAGAAAATTGTTTTAAAATTCAGTTTCTGAGCGTTTTGTCAGGATCAAAGTGTTCTGAGCGCTTAAATCATCACTGCATAGGTTTTGATGATTTTATTTTCTTTTTTGTCTCTTTTTCCTTTCCCCCCCACCTGCAAATTTTTTTATATTCGAAGTTACTTATATCTTTTTGAAGCTTTTTCATTCGCAATTCGAACCACATTAAAAATTTCTAAAAAATTCCCAGTGTTGAGAAAAACCGGTTTGAAGTTTTTGATTTTTTGTCTTAATTCGAGCGCATAAAGCAAGCGAGCAGGTTTACAACAGCTGATTTAAGCTTAACTAAAAACCTTTTACTTTAAGCAAGTAAAACTAGTTTTTGACGTTCTTAAGCTTCTTTTTGGAACCAAACACTTCGAAAAATTCAAAAATTTCCCGCAAAACATTTTGAAAAAAAAAGTTTTTTAATTTTTTTTCAGGTTTTCTAGTCATTTTGCTGAGACAATGTTTGTCCAATTTGCCTATGTTACTATGACTGTCTAATATGCCCTAATTATATTCGTTTGTCCGATCCTCTTAGCACACCAAGCAGAAAAAACTACACTAATTTGGAAAAAGTTTTCTAAACCATAGTTTTCTAAAGACTATTACCTAAATTACCTATAGATCCAGATTTATTTAAATTTTTATCAAAGAGTGTCGAAAAAAATATTGTAAAAGCTTTATGAAAACCTTATTTTTTACTTTGAAGTTCAAAATTTGAAAATTTTTAAAAGTTTCTTTTCAGCTTCTTTTCTGTTTCTTTGTGTTCATTTACTCCTTTTCAAGTTTCTGTTAGCTATGTTTCTGATTTACTGATGCACCGTTTTTTTTACAATCTGCAGGAGTTGCTCAATTAGAAATCAAATGTTTTTTGTGTCTTTCTTTTATAAGCTCTTAATCAGGGGCGGATCTAGGAGGGGCAGAAAAATTAGGGGCGAGTTTTTTTAAAAAAAACTTTCAAAAAATAGTCAATAGTTTCCAAATTAATTTTCCCATATCTTAAAAAAACTATACCGACGATTTTCTGCACCGAAAGCAAGCTTAAAATAAAGTAACCACAAAACTCCTAAGGTTTTGGCACCAAACTATGCTGTTAATGGCCTCAATGTACTTAATAATAGGCCTTCAATCCAACTCAAATGATTAAAAAACTTAATTTGACTCCATTTGACTCTATTTCAGGAATAATCAACTGGGCGTCGTGCGTGAGGGAAGCCACGAAACACATGGAAACGCCGGGTGCAAAAATAACCAAGCCAGAGAGGACCCAATTTCGATACGACAGGTTTTCGAGAAGCTTTTGCTTCCAACCCCAGCTCGAGTAAGTAAATCCAGTTGTGTATCCTCGCAATCTGACGAATGTATCGGAATTCGGCTGCTTTTTCTTGACCGTTGTAAATTTAACCCTCTGAAACAACCGTTAGAAAATGAAAACCCCTCTAGTTTGAAATAACCGCTAGTTCCTCAACGTTTTAAACTGACAACATTGGTTCTAAATAATATAGCCAACTTATCTGATATGCAAATGCAATAGACCCAGTTTCTATATTTCAGCCCGAAATTTTCTCAGCATGCTTTGCCAAAGCAATTAATTATAATTTTGGTGTTAAATTTGCCTCTAGAAAAACTTTTTGCTGGTCGGTAAAAATAGAGGTCGCTGAAATTAACCTTTGCGTTGCAAACGGGGTTTAGACCTTTAAAATCCAATTTGCGAGTATTTTACCATAACGCTTCTTGAAGTTTTTAAATGGATATGTCAGCTTTATGTAACGAAAAAAAAACAACGACCAGCCTGATCTTCATAATTTTTCAAAGCTTTTTGTCATAATTTTTCAAAGAATTTATGTTTTTCGAAAGCTTCGTTTCGTTTTCGTTAGGACAAAAATAGGAAATTTTACTTAATTAGGTGAAACTTGTTTTAGAGTTGGAGAGTCCATTCGCTCCTTTAGGGGATTTGTGCTGAATGAAGTGTACATAGGCAAACATCCCGAGCACGTTTTCACTCTCGGCTGCATATTCTACCCGGACTTCGAGATTACGAGACAAATTCTGAATCGGACGTTTTGCTGCACAAAACTGCCACAAGAGTGGGATCTAAATGGTAAACTTTTGCGATTGAATCAATTTTGATATTTTTTGGGCATTTTAGCTTTATTTTGGAAACTGGGATTTTTTCTTAAATTCAAAATGGTTAACTTTAAATGTTTGAGCTGACATTGGAAAAACTTTCTAAATGATATATTTTTGGGTATTTAAGATTATTTTTGGAAACTTTGGGATACTTTGTGATATTTTTTAAATTTATAATTGGTAAATTTTGGTTAATTGAGTTTTTGAGTATTTGAGTTGAGCTATTATATAGCCTGAAGTGGTCTGTTTAAAGCCTGAATAATCATAATCAGTATTTCAGTATCAGTTTATGAGAGTATTTTGTTTTAATAATGAGACTTGGCTTATTTCTCCAAAAAATTTCAGTAGATCATAAACTGAATTAGGCTGAAATAAACTGAGAAAGGGTTTCTTTTTCAAAAAAACAAAAACACGAATAAAAAATATAAATAATCGCCAATTTTACCGCAGCTGTTGCAAACTCAAACAATTGGAGGCTCAAAATTGAATAAGTTCGAGGGTTGACTTAAAAGCAAATTGCGGGTTTTTACAAGAAAGCTTACAACACATATTAGGCTCTCAATCTCTTTAACTGATGGTTTTAGGTGACATTTACTTCAAAGTGAACGGGAACTCGATTCCCTACACCTTCGGAGATCCACAGATATATTCGGATTATATCCCACTATGGAGTCTAATTCCTCCCCCGTTCTCGGAAAAAAGCCCGGACCCCCCTCCTAACGACCATATGCTGAAATGGATTCATCTAGGAGTCATTGTTCCATTTATTGCATTATTGCTATGCATAATTTATATCGGTTGCAAGTGGGATATATTCATAACTTGTGGCTCAGTTGTTAACACAGCTTTTTGGAAATGTATCTCGAGCGTTGAGAGGCTTTTTAATCGGAACATGAGAGAAGGCGAAGACAAGGAAGAATCTGAGTCAAATGAGCTTCAGGCTGCCATTGAAGATGCACCACAAGCTGATGAAGTTGATGAAGATACCGAACTCTAGCAGGTGACAACGAACAAAAAAAAACCGGAAGAGCTAATAAAGAAAAAAACCGCCACTTTGAAAAGAAAGCCGAGAAGCTAGTGACTCAAAAGCTGAAGCCCTAGCAAATAACAAAAACTGTTCCACGTTGAAAATCGGTGGGCATAACTGGTGCGTGCTTCTAAAAAATCCTGATTTTGACGACATCGGATGGCCCTGAAGTCCTAATAGCAAATGAAGACTTAAGTTAGATATTCTTGAAGTGTTAACACTCTGATATGAGCTTTATAGGCCTTCAATCGATT